ACCACGCATGCGCAGTTTAGCCTGCAACGCCTCTCTCTCATGAGACTTACTAGAGAAGAGTAGTTAGTAGGTAGTAGCGAAGTAACGAAGGAAATGTGTTGTATGTCAGCTAAGATGCAAGAAACGAAGTGATACTTGTGTGTTCATCGTTTGTACTTATTATTTTTATTTGTGTGTTAATAAAGTTTTGTGCCGTTAAAATGGCTGTTTTATGCAACGCACACAATACGATACGTCTACGGTAGGAAGTTAAATACATATCCAGAACCTACACGCCCAAGAAAAAAGAAGGATATGACAGTGGTGTCAGAAGTGGGATATGATAGTGGGGTGTCAGAAAAGGAGGATATGTCATTCTGCAAAGTTCACGGATAAATGCGTAAGTGAGTCTTCAGAAAGGTAAGAAATTTGTTCAATTTATTTTGTGGTAAAGTGGAATTCAAGGTTACAAAAATGGCTGAAGAGCTAACGAAATCTAAGAAAGAACGGAAAGTTATTCGTTCAGCCATTACTAAAGTAACAAATGCTGTATTGAATCATTAATTGCAGCCAGGTAACCTTGAAGACCTTGAAGAATCCACTGGAAAGTTTTAAAAGTAAAAGCTATTTCTTTGAAAGCGTTAGACGAAAAAATTAAAACTTTGACTGATGTTAATGACATTGAAACCGAAATCGAAAGTGCCTTGGAATACGAAGAAAAAATTTCGAAATGGAGCTTTAGAGGCACAAAATTATTGAAAGAAAAAAGAAATAGCAATAATTCGCTAGTTTCTAATGGTTCTTCTAATGATAGTAACAATTTATCTATTTCTGGTGTCGATAAAAGTTCTGATTATAATGTTAAATTGCCGAAGATTATGATGATAAATTTTATGGAATGCTGAAATGTGGCAGACATTTTACAATTCTTTTGATACGGCAATAAATCAAACGAAAAACTATCTAAAGTAGATAAGTTTAATTACTTGCTTAGCCTGTTAGGCGGTGCAGCTTTAAAAACAATAGAAGGCTTTTCTTTATCTCCAGAAAACTACGACGAAGCTTTTAAAATTCTCAAAGGAGAGGTATGGTCGAAAAGATCTCCTTATTAATTCTTACATGCATAAACTTTAAATTTACGGCCTGTCCGAAGTTCTAATGACATTAATTCTTTGAGGGAATTATATGATACCTGCAACGTACAAGTAAGGTCACTAAATTCGATAGGGGTCAAGACCGAATCGTATGGAAAGTTACTATACCCTTTGTTAATGAAATGCATACCTCAGGATATAACGCTTGATTTTGCTCGTCAAAACGCAGATGAGGAAACTTTTAATGTCGACAACCTCATGAAATTTCTAAAACGGGAAATTGAAAGTCGCGAACGAACTTCATTAAATTATTTTATTCTAAGAGTCACGCTAATTCTCTTGGAAGGCATTCACAACCAAATGAAAAGCGAAACAACTTCCACACTCGGAATTCATTCAACGCCAACAAATTTGGCGCCAGCTATTCCCCTAATGTAAGCAAAATTGCAGTTGTTCGAACTTTCCCTTGCTTATTTTGCGAAAGCGAAAATCATGCTTCGGAAAAATGCGTTATGTCTCCGGAAGAAAGGAAAAAGAGTTTAAGGGCTTCTAATCGATGCTTTCTTTGTTTCGAAAGGAATTGTAGAATAAAAAATTGCCCTTCTCAATTAAAATGTTCAAAATGTAATTCTAAGTATCATAATATATTGTTGCATAAAGATAAGGAAAGGGTTGCTAACTTTATGCTTTAATTATTAAAGAAATTAAGAATAATTCTAACGCCGTAACAGCAAAGATTTCTTCTAAATATTTTACTGCAATACAAGAAGTTAAGGAATTAATAGATGACTTGCCAACTGTTAAACTTATATGTGATGGTAAATCGATTAATGCAGTAGCAGATACAGGCACGCAATTAAACACTGTCAAGGCTGACATTGTACCAGAAAAATACCGTACGCCACATGGAAGTGTTATCCTCACGTCAGCTTTGACAATCTTTAAAAGCTCGTCTCATTAACCTACCTTTAGTAATATATTCTGAAGATGATAAATTTATGTCACCTATTTTTTAAACATGTGCAATGGTGGATAAGTTATGTAATGATTTACTCTTGTCGTTAAGTGCTTTTAATGAGTTAAGGGGAGATGATAAAAGAAAGTTTAATTTTGAATGTAAAAATGTAAACATTGCTACTGATAGTTTCGGTGAAATGCCTTTTCATGAAACTGAAAATTTTGACGAAATACTTAACCATGATAGGGAAAACCTAATTAATGAAAAATGTAATGAAACTGTTAAGAAGATAATAGAATGTTGTGCTCTTGTATATGAAGATACAGGTAAGGATGATTCCAAAGGTAGCACGGGACACGATCAATGTGCTTCGGATTCAGAACTGTTTCGAGTGCAACAAATGAATGACCCATCTTTAAAACATGCTGGCAAAATGTTAAGAACGGAAGTAATAACTTTATTGTTATTGACAACTTTTTGTATCATAAAGATAAAGTTCTAGGAGAAAGAGTTTACCAGTTAGTCGTTCTCAAAGAAAGAAGAAAACAAATTTTGGACTTAGCTCATTCTAGCTTATGGGTAAGTCACCTGCGAACCAAGAAGACAGCCGAACGTTTGAGATATTCGTTCTATTGGCCTGAAATCAAGAAAAGATGTGAAATGAATACTGCAGTGCTTGTACTTCTTGTCAACTTCAAGCGAAAAAAGCGTCCCTTTGATGAAGTTCCGATTACGCCAGTAACACGTCCTAAAGAACCATTCCAGGTAATTAATGTGGATATATCCTAGGACCTGTAGAGCCAAGCTGTAGAGGTTACAAATATGTTCTGTGTGCTGTTGATCAATGTACAAGGTGGCCCGAAGCGGTTGCCATTGAAGAATTTGAATGCCAAAGCAACATGCGATGCATTGTTGCAAATCTTTTCACGCACAGGGAATTCCTCAAATTGTTGCTTCAGATCAAGGAACTAATTTTACTGCTTCGTTGACCCAAGAGTTTTTGAAAAGGATCGGATCGTCCCCAAGGTTCTCGACTCCTTATCATCCAAGTTCAAATGGCCTGGTAGAAAGATTTAATGCTGTTTTAAAAGGGAATGATACATCATACCGTTAGAGAACATTCGAAAGATTGGGAGAAACATCTACCGTATTTACTTTGGGCTTACCGAGAAGTTCCTAATGCTACGACTGGTGTTAGTCCTTTCCAAATGCTTTATGGAAGACGTCCTAAATGGCCCGTTTGTCTATTTTGAAATCGTCATGGACTGAATGAAACTCCTGTTCCTCATGGACAGTTAAGTTCAGTTACCGATTATCTGAATGATTTGAAGATGAAATTGGAAAAAGCTGCTGAACATGAATACTTACAGGACCTTACAGATTCCTTGGAAAGCAACAAGCTTATGCATTCTACCGTAACCGAAAGACTCGTCATAAAAGAATTCAAGGAAGGTGAACAGGGTTATAGTTTTAATCCCTGATAGCCAAAACAAAGTTTATGCCAGATGGACGGGACCTGCTACGAATCATCAAAAAGCATACTGATTATAGTTACATAGTACAAATGCCTGACAATTCCTCGAAGCATGTTCACGCAAACAAGATACGAGAGTTCAATACCGCTGTGAATAATGTCGGTGTGATATATGATACAGATATTGATTTCGGCGAAGTTGAAAACAACGTTCCAAGAATTGTTCCACGGAAAGCAAAAGAACACTATTCTAATGAGGAATGTGATTTTACGCACCTTGAACCGCATAAGAAGAAAGAACTTATGGAAGATTTTAAGAAGGCATAAGAACCTAAGAACTGGTATTCCGAAAATCGCCAATGTGAGAGAACACGACATCAAACTGAAAGCCTGGAAGTATGCCAAAAAATCAGAAACCGTACTCGAATACCTGAAGTTCTAAGAAATGAAGTTGATCGTCAAATAGATAAGCTTTTACAGCTAAAGCTAATCGTTGAATCAGAAAGTGAAATATGTGCATCCAGTAGTTTATGTGTCAACAAAATGGAACGTAACATGTGTAGACTAAAAGACCATGCTGATTTATTGATGACGTGACTTAAAATGACATGAATATTCCCCCCAGTGAGTGAGCATGACTGACGTTATGAACTATGAACTATAAGATTTTGACTGTTTAGTTTGATTTTTTTTAGCTAAAATGCTAAATTTTTTTCCTAACGTTAGGTAATTGTTTAAAAATTTAGCTAGGGTTTGCTAAAGTATTATGTTTAATGTTAATGATTGATTTGTATTGTCTCGTTTATATGATAACTGCTTATATGATTATGATTATGTGAAGGATTTAAGTTTGAAATGTTAATTGAATGTTACATCTTTTTAAATGAATAGGATTACTGAATTTATGTTGAAGTAATTTTAATTTAAAATGGTAAGAATTGGTTAATTAAGTTCGAAAATTTCATGAATGTTATTTTGTTTTGTTTCAAGAAATGTTTATATATGTGGATTTGACAGGTCATTGAAAGACGCAATCAAATCTTTTCGAGGGGAGGTGTCATGACGTGATGACCACGCATGCGCAGTTTAGCCGAACGGCCTGCAACGCCTCTCTCTCATGAGACTTACTAGAGAAGAGTAGTTAGTAGGTAGTAGCAAAGTAACGAAGGAAATGTGTTGTATGTCAGCTAAGATGCAAGAAACGAAGTGATACTTGTGTGTTCATCGTTTGTACTTATTATTTTTATTTGTGTGTTAATAAAGTTTTGTGCCGTTAAAATGGCTGTTTTATGCAACGCACACAATACGATACGTCTACGGTAGGAAGTAAATACATATCCAGAAACTACACGCCCAAGAAAAAGAAGGATATGACAATTCGTCACTCGCTGCACTGCGCGAGAAATAAAACCATTTAATTTATAGTTGAACTAACATTAGCTTTTTAAATACCAAATTCGTAACAATATATATATACTAATGTTTCTTATTTCAGGATGGAATTCCTGACCAAGCTGGACAAGCTGCTTGGACAGCACAACATAAACGATGTATACTTAGAACTTGCAGAGAGGTATGTATAGCCCAATGTTATATAATACTTTTTTACTTTATAAATACTTTATTAAATGATTCATACGCAACAAATACCAGAGATTTATTATGCATTTAAAGCTACAACTATGCATCATAACTCTCCAACTGTAAAACATGAATAAAGCTTAATAAATGCTTTGTGCAGCTATGACAAATTTTTCCTGTATCATACCTTAATTCTAATTTTTCAAAAATATTTATTTTATAAAAATGGGTTATTTTTCAGGTTAATTGTTTTCTTTTCTCCCGTTAAATTTTGCATAAAAATAAAATATGTATAGGGCCTAAAGTTAAAGTAGATTCCAGTGGCATTGAGAATGCTAGCCAAAGATCTGTCATACACCAACTTACACAACAATGTACGAGAAAAAGATATATCTTTTTCAAGGCAAGAGTTCAGTTAGCGATTTTTGGATTATCAGATTATGTGTGAACTAATTACTAACTGACTTGCTTATTTTGTAGAACTTCAATATAGTTAGAAGTTTAAAAATCACTGAAACAAATAAGGATAACCATTAAAGGCAAAGAATAAAATGCATATTTCTAAAACTTGTTACATAACTATGAAGAAGAAACTAAAATATAGCTAAGACACAATAACACGCCGAACAAATACTAATTCAGAAGTCAAAACAACAAAAATCAGCGTTATATTTTCAAATTTGAAAATGATTTTTGTTGTTTGACTTCTGAATTAGTAAAGTATAGGTAGTTGATAACTACGGCTTTTAACCAGCTCATTCCTAAACTGGTCTGCTTATTCTGTAACACATGCAATTCAGCTGTAGTCAGTTACTATTTTCTTTTTCATTTTTGCTTCAACATAATCTGTTGAAAATTAGCTTAATATTTTATAGACTACAAAGCAGTTGGTAATTATTGCAGACTATATGCGAGCTTTTAAATTCTACTACAATACATAATTTTTAAACACAGGAAATGATTCGAAAAAATAACTAAAAATCTGAAAGCTTTCAGATTTTATATTACGCCTAAAGGTGTGTTTTTAGCGTTTTGTGTGTTACCTTTACTTATTAAATATCATGTTCTTTGCACTTAAACCATAAATTCAATTCAACAGCAATATCGCAAAAATATTTAAAAAGAACATATCTTTAGAATTTCCGATACACAGCCTCGCGCTGGAGATAAAAATGTTTTCTTTTCGTACAGTGTTGCCATTGCTCTCTTTGAAATCGTTGAGTTTTTTGATAAAACGTTCTTTGATGTTTGACAAAATATGAAACAGATAATGAAACAAATTAAAAATTCTAAACTTAAGCTTCCAGATGCCCATATTCGAAAGCAGGACTGCGTTATTCAAAATTTTTGTGTCTCTAGGTACCGTTGTTCTTTCATAGTGCCAGACAGATACATAATTCATGCAGATTCTTCATTATTTAATTTCTTTAAATATAATGCAGATCTATAATATTTGATGGCAACAATTTGAAAAGTGAACCGGTGCGAATGAAAAATGCCAAAACGAAATTAATAGCCTTTCATCGCAAATTGCGCTTTGGGCTAAAACTTTATGTAGAACAATTAAACTAAATGCCCCCAGTTGGTTCTTTTCAGAATATACCTAGATTTCAATTCAACAGTCTTTTCTACAGTTTATTTTTAGAAGAATCACAAAAGCATAAATAGAAATGTAATACAGAATGCACTTCTAAAAATTTAATTTACGATTGAGACGTGCACTTGCATCAAAATAAATCCAATACATCTCTTCTATAAATGAAAAAAGATACGTTTTAAATCCCACTCAGCTTTCACTCTTTTAAAGAATAAGCTAAGTTTTCTTTGTCTTTGGAAGACTCCAGTAAAATAAAACTAAGGATATCCATTTGACTGGAAAGAAGAATCTAAGAATTGCATCTGTAGCCTAATTGCAAGATTTGAGAATCTCACTGCTAAAATAGAGACTCGGAATGAATTGTTGAAGTTCTAAAATAAAATTGGATCACAAAGAACAGAAGAAAGTTCGCTTTAAGTGAAAGATAATCCCTTCATTATATAAGAGAATGATAGGAGGTCCTTTTCAGAGAGCATGTTTAATCAGATTACGATCAAGATGAATTTTTGTATTAGATGAATTTAAATTGCTACAATAAGACGATTATCTTTTGTCCTTTAGACAATAACTTGTAGAATAAGTTAAATAATTATGCATCTGAGTTATTGCAAAGCACCATATCCCAGATAGCATTATATCCAGATAGATCAAAAAGATTAAAATTTATAGCAAATGAGTTTTCCTTATTAAGCAAAGAGTAGTTTATAAGGTATTTCTCCCGCCTTCTTCGCATGCCTTCATGGTGTGGTGGTCTGCACGCTGGGCGCGTATTTCAGAGGTCCGCGGTTCGATTCATGGCGCAGACGTTGCATATTTTTCATCTTTTCTGCTTCCAAAACACTTAATGTCTCTACAAGTTAAACTAGAATTTATACTATAATAGTTTTTAAAATTTAATTGAATGATTAAAATATAAAAAAACCAACAAGATGAAAGCAGATTAAAATAATTAGCGTTGTGGCTCATACATAAAATATGATTTTCATTAAAATCTTCTGAAAACCATACTAGTCTTATATGCGTACCATAAGATTAAAAATATATTAAAATCAGTTATTATTTATCACCCCTTTTATATTTTGAAAGCAAATTTATTTTTGTAATTTTTATTTTATAAAAGTTTGACCAATTAGTTATCTTTCTTTTGAACATAAATTAAGCAAATATCTGTGAACGCATTTTATACGCATACACTTCTAGATACATTAGGTAATTTGGAAGCAAGAAAGATAAAAAAATAAGCAACCGCCTTCGCCGGGAATCGAACCGCAGACCACCACACCACGAAGGCATGCCAAGAAGGTGAGAGAAATACCTTATACACTTTTTACTTCCTTGCACGAAGTAAAGGAAGTATTGTAATCGCGAAAAATTTCGAGTGTCATATTTCAACGAAAATAACCATTTTGGCAGGTATCGAATGCATTTTAACGATGTTTTTGAGTGACATTTTTTTATTCCAAAACGGATTTTAAAATGGATTTAAAATAGATTCAGAAGAGTTATTTTTTTCCGTAATGTCTGTGTACGTATGTATCTCATTTAGCTCAAAACCGAGTAACCTCAGAACATTTTTGTATGTAGGACTGCCATAACGTGTAGTTGTACAACTATCATTTTGGTTACAATCGAAAAGCATCGAAAGTATATAAATATACACGTATATATACTCGTTCTGTTACTCGGGTCTGGGAATTCAGAATTTTATTCTTGTATGTTGTGCATTTTATGCTTTAAAAATGGCTGAATTATGTTATTCTTATGTTCTGGTTAAGGCTTTTATGCCTTTAGTTAATCTGCATGCAATAGAATTATCAACAGTGTAAAATTTGTTTGGGTTTGACTAAGCCTAATGGGGCAGCCATATTGATTACATTTGAAACATAATGGATCAGTTAATTTAGTCAGTTTCTGCACCTTCAGTGTCTTTTTGTCGAGTGCGACCGACCAAACGTAAACTTTCATTTTTGTGCACCGAAAAATCTGCCTTCTTGCCCTGGCCAAACTGCTTCTTTATGCGTAGAAATTGTAATTTTAAGTCTAAAAATTGTTTTTAATTTTAAAAATTGTTTTTTTAATTTTTTAAATTGTATTATCTGTATTTGGTGTTTTGTGTTTTTTCATATTTTAATTGAATGAGAAATATATCTCCAATTAAATTCGAGGAAATAAGTTTATATGAAATGCAGCAAGAAATGTGTATAATTTAAATGGCCGTACATGGAAATCATGTGGTGTCCACATCATATTTTTTTTCTGTTAAAATAACTTGAAATGCAATATTACCTTAAGTGTAAAGCAAATGTTATTTAAAGTCATATCCACATAATTCAATGCATCAATTTTCATTCCATCTTCATTGATTATTATTAAAATAATTCATTAACCTATTGTGACACGTATATTAGTTAATTTTGTTTAGGAACATGTATGAATTTTATATCATTATTTTTATCATGTAAAATAAAATATATTCTTCTTAGAATAATCATTCATCCATCCATGCATTCTGCATATTATTATTATTTTCCTGACTGAAAAAGATCAGTAAAACACCAAAATTTTCCGATTAATTATTTTAATCTATAACTGAATTTTAATTTAATTTTAAATTAGTAATTTATTTAATTTTTTAATTAATATAATTTTAAAACCTGATCGCTAGATAATTTACTATACAGGATTCACCTACGTAATGTTTCCCGAGTTTGCTATAAATGTTCTTAAAAACATCATATTTGTCCAAAATCGAGTTAATGGAGGGAATAAGCTTTTAAAGTACATTAAGAAAGTCAGAAATATAAGGAGTAAACTTTCAGAAATCATTCCTAAAAATAAATAAAATTTTACCCTGAAAAATTCTAAGGATTTCTTGAAGCACTACCAAACTATGGCTTTCTTTCTTCTAAGCACTACCAAACTATGGCTGATATTTTTGCACTAGACGTTAGGTGTAAAATGCTGTTCAGGGTATCCTTTCTTAGAATATCATCTTGTCAAGTATTCGAAGTATTCGTATTTTTTTTTTGGTTATCCTGAGATGGAGTGCCTCGGGAAGAATTCAGGCACATTCATCTCCTGTTGTCACTTTAATGTTTTTCATTTACTCTTCAAACATGTGACAAATAGTGCCAAAACTTCTCGAAACTAGTTCTGATATTTTTTAAATTATTACTTTCAATGAAGGGCGATAAAAGCATACAGCCTTTGGGAGGAAAAAATCTACTTAATAGTGATTAAAATCAGAGTGTCAAAGTAAACAACTTATCTAAACTTTATTCGTAGCATTAAATATTTTTAATTTGAAATTTGGTACAGAATAGAAATTTTATTTTTTGATATATAACAGAATTTTAGAATTTAGATTGTGTAACCTAAATTCAGAGTTTTAGACT